AGGTTTGCTTGTAAAACAAGTTTTATATCAAAGCTGTTAAAATTGTCATTAAATTGCCATCCATGAATTGTTGTTTCAAATCTTTAAGTTTAAAATTGTTAGTAATAACATTTCTTCATTTTTAAACTTGCTTCATTATTGAAACGAAACACAGAACAGGTATAATATTTCTGGTTATTGAAAAGCAAAGAGTCCTAGCTTCTGATTCAAAATAACTTTGCTATAAATTTAATTATCTAAATTAAACATTAATCCTTGGATTAAAATTAGACCAAACAGGTTGGTGTATGAACTTAGATAGATTATATAAGTATCCAGGATATTTATACATGATATAAGCTTCATGGGTTCATCTGATTGGTCATTTTTCAGACTCTCCAACTGAATAGCAACAGGGTTGATTCCAGCGTGTAGTTTAATTCTCTACATAGCAGTTTTATTGTAAATCTTTAAAAAAAAGAGACTTAGTTCTATGGAGTACTTTTTGTAACGTAAAACATAAAAAGACAGCCCAGTTTTCTCAAACTTTCTCTAGAACAGAACAAATCTGGATGTGAAATTTTTAATGGCTTGTTCTGTATTTATTTAGTAAATTACCATGAATGTAAACACAACTCCTAATTAATATGATAAAAAATGAGCGTTACAAATAAAAGCTAAATAATTCAAGTTAAATCTACATATTTTGAGTGAAATTTAATTATATGATGTGTTAAATGTGATATCAAAATTTGAATGAAAAGCACGAATATCTTGACTGCTGCAAAATAAAAGGATCCTATGGAATAAAAGCAGGATGAGTAGCGTGTCTTTGCTCTATTAACATCTATTTAACGTCATGTATGACTTTGGGTTTAAAGTTTATTTAAATTTTCATATCTTACTTTGTATATTTAAATTTGAACCTAAATGTGTTTTTAATTTTAAGTGAAGAAAATGGTGATAAATGCAGTTATTTAATTAAATCCCACAAAAGAAGTTCCTTTAGAGTACACTGCCATCTAGTGTTCAATAAAGGAAACTGCACGGGTCAAACATTGAAGGTTGCAGTCATGCATAGCTGTAAAAACGATACTTTCATATATCCTCCAAGTGTATGATTTTATTCACTCCAACTGTTGTTGCCAAGTTTGCAATTAAAACCCAAAACCGTAATATTTCACACTGTGAATGTCCTATTTTCCTGCAGCACCTGAAGTCAACATCTTGATGCATTCACGACGTCCTCTGTTAATCCAGTCATGATGTCCGCGGTGTCTCATTGTTTGGGGGGGGGGGGGTGTCCAGTACGCCACCATCCACCGGGACTCCTTTCTAGAGTACAGTGTACTCAAACATCATCCACAGTCTGGCGCACGCTCCACGAAGGGCCGCATTTTGCGCAAAAGGCGCATCACTGGCGCCCGCGAGACGCGCCGTGCGTCACCATCAGCTCAGACAGAAGAGAGATAAATCGGGTTTTCTCTCACCGCACACACTCCCGCAATGTCTGATAGCGGCAGCAGCTGACCAGCAGCGGTTCAACGCTCCAACAGGTGCGTCCATGGAGCAGAAGAGACAAACGGAAATATAGAGCGTGCGCAAACAGCAGAAATAAAATGTCTAAAGAGGAGCGTGCTTCCCTTGAAAGTGTTGAAAACAACAACTTTGTGGTCATAAACATCCAGCTGCTGCCGATCATGACAGAAGAGATGATCCTGCTGACTGGAGATCAGGTTTTGCAGCAGCCCTGATGACCACTTATGACATGTGTTGTTAAAGAACCTTCACCTCTGGCTTACTGCCTCTGGTCCACAGCCTTTCAGTCCTTAGCATAACTATTGGTGTGTATATGAATGAGGAAAACATCCATGCTGGCCTACGTCTGCCTGTCGAATGAGAGACAGAGAGATAACCCATTTTATATGTAATATATTATAATCATATTTGTAGTGTTTACAATAATTTCATTCAGACTAAAACAATCTGCTGGTCTGATGGATTTCTGGTCGTCACGGCGTCGATGCTGACGGTAGAAGTGAACCCGAGCTCTCCCTGTTAGCTGCTGACTGAAGCATCTCCAAGAAGAGGCTGGGCCAGGTGTGTCCAAAGTGCGGCCCGGGGGCCATTTGCGGCCCTCGGAGGGGTTTAGTGTGGCCCTCACTAGCATTTTTAGAGTTGTGGTGATAAGTCTCTCTGGGAGACTGTTGATATAAATTCATATATATTATATTTTATGTTCTAACTTTTACTAATATCTATTTTAGGCCTTTTTGTACAGAAGAGGGCCACTAAAAAGAAAAAGAATTCTGACTTTAATCTCAAAATTATTTCTTTTCTTTTCAGCGGCTTTAAAACATGTAATTTTTGTGGCCCGTGAGGAGTTTTAACTTCATGATTTTGGCCCTCGTCTTGAAAAGTTTGGACATCCCTGGGCCGGGCGGTCTGACTGTTCAGCTCAGCAGCAGCATCACATGAACTCACTGATGACTTTCCATCCAGATAAAGGAGATGTGTGCATCTGCAGAAGGCTTCTGCCGCTGTCGATGTTGTTGATTTAATCTGTTCCTAATTTGTGAACCTGAATGACACACACACACACACACACACACACGTGATTCTGTTGACCCAGACAGTCTGGTACCCGTGAGGGTTCAGGTGGATGACGGTGTCTAGTCTATTCCATCTCCCACACTGGTACATGTAGTTTAGCAGAATTGAATAGAACATCACTTTATGCAACAGCGACAGGTTATTAGCCTAATTCTGTCTTAGAAGAGTTACATTCACACATATAGGATGGCGTGCCAGGCTAACAGGTCCCTGCAGCAGAACACACACATTTATATGGTGGAGGAAAGAATGTGAAGCTTTAATTGAGTTGTGTTACACATCAGCAGGTGCCCAGCCTGACTCACTTTTAGTGTTTAGTGTAAATCGGTGGAGGTCTGGGACAGTTTTAGAATGCCCGCCCCTGCAGGTAGCATCAGTGACACAACACTTTAAAACCCGTCTCAGTTTAGTGCCGTTTAAACTGAACACACCTGCCTCAGCAGCAAGTGAAACACTGATCAGCACAGCTGAACTGATCCTAATCCTTCTTATTTTTCTGGATCTGTTTTGTTTAAAACGAAAATCTAATGAAAATAGGAGGAACGATGGACAGATTATCTTCTCTCCCAAAGAGCCAAACTGGTTTTAACTTACAACTGTCACAATGTGGGTTGGAGGAGGAGAAAGACCCAAAATGCAGAACCAGATAAATGAGGCAGAGGTGGAAGATACAAATAAAAAATCCTTTATTTAGGAGCAATCCTCGAGGGCAGGGAGCCAAAACACCAGAATCCAAAACAACACTCGAGACCTAGAAACACTCGAGACTAGAGACTAGAGAGGAGAATGAGAGGAGACTGACAGAGAACAATGGACCAACACAACATAGAGACACAGACAGGGTTTTATACACGAGAGGAAGATGAATTGCAGGTGTGTGGGGAGAGAGAGACCAGGTGAACACAATTTACTAATTAGGGAGGAAACAAACGTGACCTAAGAATAAAACTAAAGACAAGAAGAGCAGGAACATCACTAATAATCTAAGGAGCGGGAAAAGAAACAAGCAGGAAGACGGATAAACCTTAACCTATAACACAAGGATTAAACTAAACCTAAAGACTGAGGGCCAAAAATAAACAACTAATAACTAGACGGATGAGGAGGACTGAAATAAGATTGACTAGGAATAGGGAATGACTAGAAGGACACCTGAGGGAAGTCTACAGAGGGCTGGGGAACAAAGGGACACAGAACATGACAACAAACTCCTTCATAAACTGCAACTGGTCCAGAATTCAGCAGCCCGTATTATCACCAGAACCCCTTCCTTTCACCACATCACCCCGGTTCTCCAGCAGCTTCACTGGCTCCCAGTTAAATTCAGGTCCATCTTCAAAATTCTCCTCCATACCTTCAAAGCCATCCACAACCTCTCTCCTCCATATATATCAGACCTTATAAGTATTCACACCCCCTCCTGTTCACTCAGATCTTCTTCTTCCATCCATCTTGCGGTTCCTTCTGCCCGTCTCGCTACCATGGGCAGCAGAGCTTTCAGCCGCTCTGCTCCCCGTCTCTGGAACTCACTTCCCCCAGACATCAGGAACATCGACAGTTTTACTCTTTTCAAAACAAAACTCAAAACACACATGTTTAAATCTGCCTACAACCTCTGATTTTATTGAACTGTTTCTCTCTTTGTTTTTTCTTGTTTGGGTTTTATTATTGTTTTATTGTATTTTATCACATGTTTTCTGTCAAGTGACCTTGGGTGTCCTGAAAGGCGCTTTTAAATAAAATGTATTATTATTATTATTATTATTATTATTATTATTATTATTATTATTATAAAAACACTGGCTCCTTCTGAAGTACCATTACTCACACGGTCATAGTCCTGCGGGTCAGGGTAACACCAGTACCTTTATGCACTACTTACTTAAATAAAAAGGTCAGTTGCTTATCTTATTTTCTGTATTTGGCAACAATCCAATTAAAGACATATCAGAGTATTAGTTGAACCCTGTTTTCATTTTGAAAGACCCTTGCAAATACATGGGATGTAACACTTAAGTTGAAGATGTCTTGGATACATCCACATTTACCCCCTACCTGGTAACTTTTACCCCTACCTGTACTTTTACTTGAGTATGAAAGGTACTTTTTCCAGCACTGACCGTTACTGTTAGAACAGTACCTCGTGGATTGGGTATTTATCTATGATGATGTATTTTTCTGACTATTAAAATGCCCGCTGAGTCCTCTTCTGCCTCATGCTCTTACCGTATAGACTGTGTATGTGTGCATGTGTTTTTCCGTGCACGTGCCGGCGGGTCCAGGTGTGGCTGTGCTGCCGCCTGCAGGAGGCGGGAACACAACCTTTGAACATCTGGCTGCAGGTTCCAAGCCCGACACGCCCACCAGGGGACACTTAGCCCCGCCCCCGAACCTCCTGTCCTTATTAGAGACGGCCCAGCAGCTTCACAGATGATACGGAACCACCAGGAGAACCCAGACTTGTCTGAAACTCTGAAACTTCAATGATGACCGAGGACAAGAGTGGGCCAGGAGGACCTGAGGATCTGTCCCCAGACCCCTCCTGCGAGGACAGGACCACGGAGGAGGACAAGCAGCAGAACGGGGAGCTCCCTGTGAAAGCGGCTCCGCCGGAGGAGTTCGTGCACCCCGAGGGCGGCTGGGGCTGGGTGGTCATGCTGGCCTCCATGTGGTGTAACGGTTCGGTGTTCGGGATCCAGAACTCCTTCGGGTTGATCTTCCAGTGCCTGCTCCGGGAGTTCGGCTCCGAGGACGACCCGGACCTGCGCTTCAAGACGTGTGAGTGCTTTCACCCGAACCACAGGGCCGGAGACGGGGGGTGGCCGGGGCCCCCCCTCAACTGCAATAACCACAATAACTGTCATCATTACACCTAATAACACCATCAGTAATAATCAGTAATTATTATAGTAGTTATGCGGAGTAAAGGGACAACCATGTCCTCATCTGTAACCTCCTGAGCCGGACCACCACACATCAGATGAGTCATGTGTGTGTGTGTGTGTGTGTGTGTGTGTGTGTGTGTGTGGGGGGGGGGGGGGGTCATGTTACATCCTCATATTAAACACCTCAAGTTTAGTCACAGATTAATATAAACTAGAAAGCACGGTGGAGGTCTACACAGAGACATACCGCGTGTTTAAAACTTCCACTGAGAAAAGTTTCTTCTGCCTGAAATGAAGTTGAAGTCATCTCCTCAGGGAGCCGGGTGTTTGACTTTGAAATCATGTGGATCATTTTTTCCATTTTAGTCTCTTAGTGCCATAACTTTATGCTTCTGTCTGTCTGCTGAAATCAGTTTTATTACATTTAAAAAAACATCAAATCGGATCTGACTCAGTACTCAAGTAGGGTTTTTACTCCTACTGCCGTATTTGTTTGGACGTCTACTTTTTACTTTTACTTGAGTAAAAATATGTTGAAGTAGTAGTACTTCCCCTTGAGTACAACTTTTGGGTACTCCACCCAGCTCTGCTTGGAGGAGACAACAGTGTGGCACTCGTCTCAAAAGAGCCGCCTGGCCACGGCTACAATAAAAACATTTTATTATCTTTAAACGAAGTCACGTTTCAAATGTTGCGAATAAACTGTCTAACGTGTTTGCCCACAGATAAAGAAGATGTTACAGAACTTGGTTCATAAAGTTCAATCTGTCCCAAACGAACGAGTAAAAAACAAAGCTAATAAATCAATAGTTACATGTTAGCGTGTGTTTTGAGATCCGTTGCTTTACCCAGTTTGTTTGTTTGCCATACTTGGAGATTCCAGCGTGCGAGTAGAAATAGGAACTGGAACAGCCCCCCTAACAGGATTTTTCCTGCATTCAAGTTAGCGTGGCGGCTGCCTCCAGCTAATTTTGTGCTGCCCCAGCCTGATTTCACTCTGCCCCCAGCTATCTGGATGTTATTTTAACTGCAGTTAGAGCGTTGCGTCACTACAGGGGCGCTGTACCAGCAGCGGTGCACCGAAAAGCGCTAAAACCGCTGCAGACAAAGAAGATTAAATATTGCTTTTCTTGCTAGTTGGTACCGATGGTTGGTGCTATTGACAGGCTCTTTCATATCAGAACAGGGCTGTACAGTGCGACGAGAAAACTGTCTGTGCGTGTCTATTTTTAACTGTAGCACTGGTGCAACATCTTTGAATTACTATTAAGCGCCTCGTGATTTTTATCTTGAGAGGCGCTATAGAAATGATACGTTCTTCTTCTTCTGTTTTCCTCAGAACTTTATTGAACAAAAGTAAGTTACGTGTAAGAAAAATGCTTTTTACCGGCGCACAGTGTGGTCATCTGGATGCAGTGGAGGAAAATAAAGGAACCAGCAAAGGCAGAACTGGTCCAAAGTTTGGGATCAAACCTGCAGCTACACGCAGATTGGCTAACGCTAAAGCTAACGGGTAGCAGTCTCACGATCAAGTGGCGCACAGAAAAATATATGATGATCGTAAAACTAAGAAAGACTAAACGCTACAAGCGGATGAAAAGTCCCCACCGTCCTGTTTATTCTGCATCCTGCAGCGCTACGGATCAGAACCGCTGCAGGTACGAGTCGCATTACTGCTACAAGTCTACGGCAAACTGCTGTAGTATATAATCCACTACGCTTCTATCTTTGAACATAATTTAAACTGGATTATTGCCAACCCGTACATAATAGACATGCCACCATTACATTGTTAGAGCAGAAATTAAATGTTATTACCATTTCCAACACAAATGCATGTTAATGAAATGCATTATATTTTACTGCATATATTTATGTGTTAGTTTAGACTAAGATGAGTGTTATTAATACAAACCTAAAATGTTACTGAAATGTAGGTCAAATATATAAAAATATTTTAACTATAAATATCAGATGGGAAAAAGGAACTAAACACCAATCTAATGCGTATTATTGAGCCTTTCATAATAAGAGTCTGTTATTTCATTCTGATTATTTTGTTGTTTTATTTCATATCTTTTAGCAGCGAATCAGTTTTGTTTCACTTGAAACGTCAAATGGAATATTCTATTAAAAAACAGAAGTGTAGATTAGAACAATTAACGAAAAAATATTTAGCCTTTAAAAAAGTGAGGCAGTTGAATGCACAGAGTACGCATGTGCTGGTGCACGGTCAGGATGGTACCACCTCTGCCTCAGTTTGAGCCAGGAAAAACCCTGCCTGAGTGAGGGAGCGTTTTCTAAACCAGTTTCCAAGTTCAACATAGCTGCTCCTTAATAATAGTAGCTGTGGTGGAAATGTGTTTATTTTACACGACTAACTTGTAAGCGTGCGAATATAGTTGGTGTTACATGCACTTGTATATTTTCTGAGGTAAACAGAATACACCATGATGTCCGTACACCACACAGCATAGACATTAAAGAATAGACACCGCACCGACCGCCACTGTCAGTGGTGGCCACATTTGCAGGGTCTACTTTTTATGAATCAATCAATCAATCAATCAATCAATCAATCAATCAATCAATCAATCAATCAATCAATCAATCAATCAAACTTTATTAATCCCAGAGGGAAATTAGAGTTTCAGTACACACAATTCAGAGGTCAGACATACATGGGCAAGACACATGACAAGAATTGGTGACTGTGGTCATTCGCAACCCGAGTCGCGCTACCTTCATAGAGGTCAGAGGGTTACATGAGGAATTGAGTCGGGAGTCGGGAAAAAAGGCACTTCATAGCTACTCTCCCACCAGGAGGGCAGCTTTGCTCTGCAAAAAAGAACACCTCAAACAGATAAGCAACAGACATCAGATAACAAAACACAACATCACATAATAGGAAGGCGGGGGGGGGGGGGGGGGGGGGGGGGGGGGGGCTGGGATCCTGTTTCCCCAGCGAGAGCAGCCATGCACGGCACTCCGTCACTGTAGCCACAGGTGGGAGGGAGATCTTGGGAGTAGCGCAGAGTACATTGACTTGTGCAAGTTGATGACCTTGCCAGGCTGAAATCCACCAATCCGAAGGTGGTGGTGGTGGGGGGGTAGTTTGGGTTTTCACAGCATCTGTCTGCATTCCTTCGTGGGGGGTTGTTGTTAGCATCTTGAAGGCTGCTATGGTGTCAGATTCGGATAACAAGACTTTGGGTCAGGCTGAGATAATTTTCCTCTCTGCCTTCAGTCTTTAAACTGATCATTCCAGTCCTTCAGTGAAGCCAATTTGTTTTTTAAACCTGTCCATACCGTCCGGTGACTCTCTCCGAGATGACATCCATTTTGCGCACTAATACCGGTATCGCAGCTAGAACATTGTCCAGCTTACGATTCACCTCGAGTAACGTCCCAGTCTGAGAAGTCTCCACACGGACGGTGCTTTCCGTGGGTGCGGGTCGCCCTCCAATCGCTCCTATCTTCCCAAATTTCCAGAAAACCAGATATCCTCCCACTCTTATCAGGAGAAATCCAGTGATCATCAGGCCAAACATCCACACGTCTTCGATGTCCTCAATGGACAGCTGGGAGAGGCATACGATCTTCCACTCCTTCCAGGAATCCAGCACATATCCCGCCGGGCATATAGCTAATGAGATGTTTTAGCTAGGTGTTAGCTCCGTGGAGATCTGGAGCTCCCAAAATACGAGGGAGCGCCATTCATAAACCTGTTCACACACGTCAGAGTGAGCACGCTCACTTCAACGTTCGTCAGGTAAAACACGAGCGAGTTCAGTTTACGTTAACAACAGAACAAACAAGTTCACGAACGATGGTTCATTGAACGCGGTCAGGCGGAAAGCCGTCCCATGGACGTCCAACATATGACAGACAGTGGAGTTGAGCCCAGCGGTTTTGGACTAACTGTTTCGATCAACAGCCAAAGCTTATGTTTCTATTGTCTCCTTAATAAGGTATTTCCAAACACTTGAAGAATATAGGCTTTGCTCTACATGCTGTGTGTGTGTAGCCTTGGACAGGCTGTACTGCGGAGACATAGTTCTATGCTTCAGGACGCTGGGCGCTGACAATAAAGTTCATTCTGATTTAGAAAAAAATGACAGAAGTCAGTGGGGCAAAAACGCTATTTTCTAATTCTGCTTGTTATGTTCCATGGATTTCACATATGATGTCCGTGAATTTTAAAGAAGCATTTTGATACCAACAAAGCACTTATTTTCAAATGAGGGGAAACGATATTTCAGATGTTGTGTGAAAATAAGTCCAGGACTAAAAATGCGCTTCATGAAAGTGACGTCATCGAATCAGACACGGAGAAAGCTGAGGGAAAAGGGCTGTAAGTTCAGCAACCATCAAATCCTTCTTTCAGGAGGGAAAAACCCACCATGAATCTGGTCATGTGGTGAGTAGCAGCTACGCTAGGGGGCATATATGCAACGTACCCACGTCTCACTAGTAGTCATGCTAATTACGAACTTTTACAAGCCGATAAACCTCAAAGTGCGTGAAAATAGAAGTACAACAAATGTGTGATCCAGGGCGTAAGGCGGATTAGAAAAGAGCTCTTTTAGCCCCGTTGACTTGCCTTCATTTTTTCGTTCTTCCGGGGACCCATGAGCCGACCAGACAGGGAGGAGACTTGGGCTCCCTATGGCAAGAAACGGCTCTGTCCGTCCCCCTCCCCAGTCCTCTTGTCCCCTCTGTCCCTCGCAGCTGAGCCTGAGGCAGCAGACATCACGTGACCAGCTGGAGGGGCAATGACACTTGAGCTCTGAGTGTGTTTCCTGTAAACTCTGAACCAGTCCTGTTGCCATGAACACGTTTTATTAGAGCAATGATCATAAAGAATCAACAGAACAGCTCTGGTTCTGTTGG